CACTAATTATTAATCACTATACAATCAATAATATGTTTGCATATAAAACGATCTATTTCTCCTTTATTACAATACGATTATTGATTATTTGTTTGATTCATTATCCATTATGTTTCATAGTACATTTATCCTCGATTGACTTGCACTAAGAATATTTTTCTATTTACCACTGGTCATTAATCCCTGTATAATTAACAACAGGTTTGTATATAAAGTGATCCATTTCTCCATCACTGCTCATGTACTTTTCCTCTGTTTTAACCTTCTCTCTTACGCTTTGGGGTATCTGTTCCCGCACCAATCGCACTCACCGATCCCGTTATTGATTACTGCCTCCGCTCTCCCCGTTGTGCTGAGCCCAGGGATGTTTTCCCCACGAGCTCAGGGACCCTCTGGGGTTTTGGTGGCCCTGGAAGGTCTCTCAATGCCCCTTGTCCCCGCAGTGGCACAGAGGCTGGTGGCACTGGGCAGGCACTCGGTGAGCCTGGAGAGCAGCGCGGTGGCCGTGAGCGCCGAGCCCTGCGTGCTGCAGGCAGAGCTCAACTTCGAGGTGAGCCCTGAAACTGAAAAAAAATGGGGGTTGAACTCTTCCAAAGCTTTTGGGTTATGGTTTTCTGGTGTTCTCGGTCACCAAGCACAAAACCCAAATGTCTGTTTTCAGCTCCATGTCACTGTTTCTGGGAAGAAGATCAAAGTCTCGGAGATACCTGAGCTGCCCATTCCTGAGGACTGGATGAGGGACAAACTGGAGCTGAATTTCTCCAGAACTCAGCAGGGAGGAGGAGAAGTAGAAGATGTGGCCTACGACCAACAGTCTAGAACAGCTGTGGTTACATTCCTCAGGCCTGGAGGTACCATGTGGAATATTCTGTTGCCCATAGTGAGCCCATATTTGTCCCTCCTGTGTCACCCTCTGAAGGGAATTCTCCCCAGGGAGAGCTAAGCAGATCAAAGCTGTAAATACAGCAACATTTCCTCACATCCCTCTGGGATCAAACACAACCTGATACACACTTTGTGAGCTTTATTTCTTCCTTAACTGTGCCAAAACCCCATTTTTTCCCTCTTTGCACTGCCAGACACAAGAAAATGAGGGAAATGTGTTTGATTTCAGCTCATATTCCATGGCAATGAAATTAGACATTCCAATTGCCCAATTGGATGGAATTCTGTGGAGACCACTGGAGCCACAGCCACTTAGAGCAGCTGCTTTAGATTGAGTTCAGAAGCTTTTCTGGCTGCTTAATGACTTTGGGGTGTTTTTATTGGAAGTGCCAAGTAAACATTTTGCAGAATCCATGTGAAGAATCTACAAGCTTGTGATGATCTGTTAGTTTCACGTGTGTTATCATGTATCAGTTTCTACATCCATAGAGATGAGTCTTGTCCAATATACTTATAAAATGCAGTTCAAATGACATTTCCTCTCACTCCTTCTCATCCTCCATTTCAGCAAGCACCAACTTTGTGAGATGTGCTGAATACCCTTTCTATGCCAATGGAAGGAGCTACAGACTTTCTGTGGCCCCAGTTGTTGAGATGCAGCTGAAGAAGTTCCAGGTAAAAGACTCCAGTCCAGGCTGATAGAACAGATCTGTGGGAAACAGGAGATGTCTAATGAGGCCTTGGTGATAGCCTCAGCAGAGACTCAGCTAATGAAACATTTGCTCATGGAATCATCCATTCCTTCAGCCCAAATCCTGACTTCTCTACCTGTGCTCATCATGTTCTTACTGAGATTCTCTGTGGTTTTAGGAGTAGATAGTAATCAAGTCCTTGTTGTATATATAATCAGGGCTCTGTAATTAAAGCATGATTGGAGTCTCAGCAGCATACTTTGCAGGTGTGGGGCAAGTCTTGGCAGGGGTTGCTGGGAGTGATGCTGTCTGGAGATGTCAGAGGTCCCCAAATCCAGTGTGTGTGAGCATTAAGGAGTGTAGGACATGCTGGTTAAGGAATCTAGATGCATTGAACTCGGTGGAATCATAGAATCATGGAATCTGCTGAGTTGGAAGGGACCCACGAGGACCATCAAATCTAATTCCTGTCCCTGCCCAGGACACCCCAACACTGCACCCTGAGCCTGAGAGCATTGGCCAAACACTCCCTGAGCTCTGTCAGCCTTGGGGCTGTGACACTGCCCTGGGAGCTGTTCAGTGCCCAAACACCTCTGGGGGAAGAACCTTGTCCTGATATCCAACCTAACCCTGTTCAGTGCCCAAACACCTCTGGGGGAAGAACCTTGTCCTGATATCCAACCTAACCCTGTTCAGTGCCCAAACACCTCTGGGGGAAGAACCTTGTCCTGATATCCAACCTAACCCTCCCCTGACTCAGCTCCAGACCATTCCCTGGGTCCTGTCACTGGTCACAGAGATCAGTGCTTCCCTCCACTGCCCCTCAGGAAGCTGCAGACCCCAGTGAGACTCCCCTTAGTCTTTTCTCCAGGCTGAATAACCCAAGTGCCCTCAGCTGTTCCTCCTATGGCTTCCCCTCAAGACCCTTCACAGCAGTGTATGGTGAAGTTCAGAATTCTTATTTCCAGTGACAAATACACCCCAATAGCCAAAGCCTTAGCATGTACTCCAAGATCTCAGCTGTTCCTGATCAAGGAATTTAACTCTCTTACCTGTCAGTGCACGTGGAACAGCTGATGTGTGTTGTTCCTTCCTCCACAGCCCTACTGTGCGGTGTCCAAGAAGACCATTCTCCTGAAGGGATTTAAAGAGATGGAAGAGGATGAAGAAAGCATCCAGGACATGATTGAGATTCACTTTCAGAAGCCAAGTAACAGTGGTGGGGAAATAGACATGGTCAAATATGTCTCGAAAGGAGTAGCATGTGTTTGTTTTGAGGAGGACACTGAGAGCACCTGATGGGAAATCCCACTGAATTTGCGAAGTCCTGAGGTTTTGCTCCGTCAGAGGCACAGGGAGTTATGCTGATATTGTGCTTGAATGTTCTGAAGTTGTTAAAGAGGATTTGCTTGCCCTTCTGATTTGTGTCACAGCACTGACTTGGCACAGAAAGTCAGTGAAACTCGCTGCTTGGTGTTCCAGACATTCCTGACTAAAGTCACAGAAAAAGCCTTTACAGCACTTGGAACTTAATCAAAGATTTTCTGCAAATTTTAGATAGCTCGTGTACTCCAAAGAGACATAAATATATTGTATATGACATGTGTATTACTTCTTACATTTTGGATGCCAAATCCCACATGTAATCCCAATTCAAAGCCTAGACCAGGCACAGCCCTGCCTTGTTGAGATGTCAGAGCTTCAGGAGGTGACTGACTGCACTCCAGCCCAGCTGAGGTTGCTGAGTTTCACCAGAACACCTGAAAGTGATCCTGTGAGTTCATAAAATCAAATCAGTGACAGAATTCAAATGGAAAAAAAGGGAAAGTGGAAAACCATCAGAGTTTTACTCCAGAAGCTGCACTTAATAAATGCCATAGCAGGAACTCTGCCTTGAGCT